TGTTCTAAGGGCTAGAGTTGTGGCTCAGCGGTCGAGTGCTCACGCATGTGAGGCCCTGGGTTCGATCCTCAGCACCACATAAAAATAAATAAATAAAATAAAGGTATTGTGTCCAACTACAACTAAAAAAAGATTTTTAAAAAAAGTTCCAAATTTTCTGATCTTTTGAGAGACAACATGTGGACTAACAATAGAATTTAGCCAAAGAAATGGGTAAACAAAGAACAGTGCACTTACTCTGTTCCTTCCAAGCATTTTATGTTTTATTTACTTTTTTAAGAAATAGGATCTCACTATGTTGTTGAGGCTTTCCCCAAACTCCTGAGCTCAGGTGATCCTCCCATCTCAGTCTCTCCATACTTGGAGAATTGTGTGCCATTATGCCCAGTTTAATTTAAACAATGAGTGAGAAAATAGTTAATTTTCTAAAGGCACTATGSTGTGAATGTATTTTGAAAATGGATGTTTGGAAATTTTAATCATTATGTGATTTTGTTCCTAAAAGTATGAACTTTTAAAAATAAAACAAACAAAATTTTCTAATCTATTAAACATACTCCAGATGATGGGTTTAGAAATTGTAATCAGTGATGGGCTGGGGTTTTAGCTCAGTGGTAGAGTTCACCTCGCACTGTGGGACACTGGGTTTGATCCTCAGCACCACATAAAAATAAAATAAAGGTATTGTGTCCATCTACAACTAAAAAAAAATTAAAAAAAAGAAATTGTTAGCAGTGATATGGTGTTGTATTTTTTCCATTTGGTTTCATATACACGTATGTGATACTTTTTTTTTTTTACCTACAGTAGGCTTTAAACCCAGGCATTAAAATAAATGGAACTGAGAACCATATATTTGAATCACTTTCATAAAGTATGAAGATTTTTGACACTAACGGCATAGCAGGTCACACTGTTCTCAATTAAAATGAGAATAGAAAGATTTTATACATTAACTAATAAAAATATTTTTAAAAGTCCTCTTTCTCATCTTTTCGATTTACATTTAGCTTAGTTTTATATTGTACATAATGTAATAACATAGTGGTACCCTGTATAATATATAAATGTATTTGCTTAAATATTTTTGCTTAAAGTTTTTAAGCTGATGGGTATATAATCAAAATGTTTGTAGACTGCTGATACAGATAATCAGCATTCCAAGTTCAAAGGAAGGCTAGTTCTCTGTAGGTGAGAAAAACAAAAAGATTCATGGTAGAGGTAGGTATAAGGCTGAAGCTAATGTGTAGTTTAATATTAGTGCTTTTTATATATTATCTCTGATTAACAAAGTAATTCACTTTCATAGGAGAACATTTGAAAAATTTAGGAAAGCACAGGCTAGCAAAAATTTAAAATGCCTTTAGTTCTGTCCTTTGAACTCAACTACTATTAATATTGTTGTTAATACCCTACAGTGTTTTTGCAAGTATGTATATGTATTAAGTTAGAAAATTGGGATCATACTTTATTAATTTGAAAACTTTCTTAACAGTATATCATAAACATTTTTATGTAATTAAATACCCTGCAATTCTATTTAAAATTTTAAAATTATATTTAAACACATGTTTAAACATGCAAAATATATTAATACACAAAAAACCAAAAACCACCTTAAAGCCTATTATCTATAGTAAACCAAAGGCAAGTCTGATAATGGAATGATTTTATTCAAGCAAAGAGTAAGGTACCTGCCATGAATTCAGAGCAAAAACTTTCATTTTTGAAGTTACAATAAAGCAAAATTAGGTAACCAAGACTTGTTCAAAGAGGAAAACAAGTACAGGGATTGATTTGCTGGGTGAGAAAGGCACGTAAAATTCAGCTAAAAACCCACTGGCCTGCAGCACTGCAAAATTATTTAGACTGGGAGCAGAGACACCAGTTAGCATGGTAGATTTTAAAGTAGGTTACTCCTTATGATACATAGGAGGAGGGAAATGATTAGTTAATATATCTGTAATGTTAATCACTCTCTAGTAAGATGTTTTTTGTAGATTGAAAATAGTGGACAAAAAGAAAAAAAGACTTTGCCTATAATAAAAAATCTCATGGAAAATCCAGAGTTGACTGTAAGTAGTTTTGTGTTGATATTCTTTGTAAATAGTAACTTTTACAATGTAGAAGTGAAGAAATTTTTGCATACTATTTGGGTAATACCTGTGATAAATCTTAGCTATTTTTTTAAATCAGACTTTTATCAGGAATTCCAATTTCTGTATGTAGTATTATTATTCTGCAACATAAAAATTTGATTGAACTCTGTTGTTAAGTTTTTCTACATTTGAAGTTGTAGGTCATGCCATCTTGAGGTAGATTAAAACAGTTATAAATGGAACATGCTTTTGTTATATTTTGTACTATTTAATATTTGACAAATGTGTAAAATACCTTTTCCCTCAAATTTTACTGTGAAAAATTTCAAACCTATAGAAAAGCAAAAGCACAGGATGTGCAATATTCATAAATATTTCACTTAGACTTTTAAACATTTTGTCATGTTTGCTTTATCTGTGTGTATTTTTTGCTGAATTGTTTGAAAGTAAGTTGCAGATAATGACATCACCCTCACTCTAAAATACTTCATTAATCTTGTGCTAAGCATAAGGACATTTCCTGTAGTCTCAACACCACTAATACTCTAAAAATAATTTCAAAATATCTAACATCCAGTCCATATTCAAGATTTTCCAGTTATCTCAAGAATGGATTAAAGGTAGTTTGTTCTTTTTGAATCAGGATTCAGTCAAAGCTAACAAATTAGCTTTGTCTTGTCATTTTAATCTAGAAGAACTGCCTGCTTTATTAAAATTATTGATATGCCTGTTTTCTTATAGAATGCCTTATATTTTCAGTTTGTCTGATTGTTTCCTCTATGTTGTGGGTTAATCCTTTTTCTCTCATTCCTGTAAACAGGAAGGTTGGTCTAAAGCTGGAAGCTCTGTAACCTGGGGTTCACAGATTCCATAGTCTGCATTTTCTTAGCAGACTGTTTTTATATAGCCAGAGTGAATGGTTGATTATTTTCTTGCATTGAAAGTACTGAGGTAGATATGCAAGGAAGTCTGAGAAACATAATTTTTTAGCAATCTAGAGGAAAGTTAAGAGTAGTTGAGGGGCTGGGGTTGTGGCTTAGTGGTAGAGCGCTTTCCTAGCACAATGAAACACTGGGTTCAATCCTCAGCATCACATAAAAATAATAAAATAAAGGTATTATGTCAGTCTACAACTAAAAAAAATTTTTAAATGAAAAAAAAAAAGTAGATGAGCTATTTGTCATGTGCTGTACCTGACTTGTATCTACTTCTTATTTCCTACTTTTTTCTATTCACCAGATATTCTAACTTGGCCTGCCCACCCTCCCTCCTTTCCTCCCTTCCTTCCGCCCTTCCTCCTTCCCTCCCTCCTTCCCTCCCTCCCTCCCTCCCTTCCTTCCTTCCTTCCTTCCTTCCTTCCTTCCTTCCTTCCTTCCTTCCTTGGTAAAGCACATTATATTTCTGGGCCTTGCTATACCAATCTCTAGTATGAGAGAACTTAGATTAAGTGATCTCTAAACATTTCATAGAAAATAATAAAATAATACAGTGTCTTCACTATCCAGTTGCAGTATTGCTTCATTTATAAAGTCTGACTCTCTGGCCTATATTTTGTTGTTTTGCCCTACAAGTTCTTTCAGAACTTATTTTAAAAAGTAAACATAGTTTACTTTTGTGTAGATAAAACATGAGTTTACATATTTATTTTGGTTTCTTCATACAATTGTAAGCTCCTTGAAGAATGCTACCTCTTTTCCTTTATAATTTAATTACTGATGATTTTATAATCATTATATTACTTTATGGCAGTCACGTAGTAAAAGTAATTATAATGGTAATTACCAACATCTGTGAACACTAACTTTGAGGCATGTGTTATTTTAATATTTTTATTTTTTGCTGTGCTGGGGATTGAACCCAGGGCCTTGTGCATGCAAGACAAGCACTCTACCAACTGAGCTATATTCCCAGCCCCCTTTAAGTGCTTTTTAAACACCCATTCCCACATTTCTTATTTATTTATTTATTTATTGTGGTGCTGGGGATTGAACCCAGGGCCTTATACATGAAAGGCAAGCACTTTACCAACTTAGGCGTATCACCAGCCCCCCATTCCCATATTTCTTGACAAGATGTTTATGAGATGGAATCTTTTCCCCCTCCATTTCACAGATGAGGAAAGGCACACAAGGGTTAAGTCATTTCACCTGCTTATCCTGTTGGTGAATGATATGAACCCAGGTAGGCAGACTTCAAAAACTTAGGCACTGAGCTAGGTGTGGTGGCACATGCCTAAAATCCCAGTCCCAGTGTCTCAGGCAGCTAAGGCAGGAGGATGACAACTATAGAGCAGTCTCAGCAGTATAACAAGGCCCTATCTCAAAAAAAAAAAAAAAAAAAAGTCTGGGGACATGGCTTGGTGGTTGAGAGCCACTGGGTTCAATCCTCTGTTCAAAAAGGAAAAAAGAATAGTAATGAAAAAAAAAATGTATGAGCTAGGGTTGTGGTTCAGCAGTAGAGCACTTCCCTAGCATGTGCAAGATGCTGGATTTGATCCTGAGCACCACAAAAAAATAAAATAAAGGTATATATACAACTAAATATATATATATTTTAAAAAGTACTTCACCATTTTGCTGTAATGTATCATTACTGTATACTTAATGAATGGAGTGTTTTCATCTTTGATATTATTGGGTATAGAATTGGTGTAAATTTGAATTTGGATAAAAGACTAAGGAAGTTTTACTTGTGAGATTTTTTTTTTTTCAAACAAGGACTAATACCTTAGCAAACTAAATATTATGAACAACTTTCACTATATGCAAACTGCATGCTTATATATACTTTGAGGGATTTTGAAAAAGTTTCTGTATTTGAAAGAAAACTTATTATATGCATAATAACAGATTTTGGTTTGTATAAAGTCTCAATTATTATTTGTTTCTTACTCATTTTTAGTTGAGTGGTGATTTTATKCAATGGCTTCAAGCCACAGTTCTTCACCAGTGCCTCAAGGAAGCAGCAGTGATGTTTTCTTTAAAAAAGAGGTAGATCCAACAAAACACATTCGACCTGTRCAGTCACTGCCAGATGTATGTCCCAAGGAACCCACAGGTAATGCTTTTTATTTTTCCTCTTTGAGGATTTTTTACTGATAATTTGTATTATCTTTAAATTAGCAGTCATATTTCCTATACTTACCCTGAAAGAGTAAATTTTTTAAAAAATAACTTTTTAGTTAAACTTGGACACAATATTTTGTCCCATTTATTTTTATGTAGCGCTGAGGATTGAACCCAGGGCCTCACGCATTCGAGGCAAGTGCTCTGCCACTGAGCCACAACCCCAACCCAAAAGAGTAAATTTTTAATGTTAAAAATAAAGATAGGGCTGGAGTTGGTTGTAGCTCAGTGGTAGAGTGCTTGCTTTGCATGCATGAGACCCTGGGTTTGATCCTCAGCACCACATAAAAATAAATAAATAAAAGACTTTGTGTCCATCTATAACTAAAAGTAAATGTAATATAGATAGATAAATAATTTGGAAATAAGTTGATAATGAAATTGGATTATAGTTTTTTTCTTGAAATGCCATAAAATAAGTTACCTATATAAGTTGAATAAGTGTTAAAAAATGAAGGTTTAGACTGAAAGTTGTTTAGTTAAAACAGTACAATCTGTCCTCCTTACTTGCAGTTTCTGTATTTGTATATTCTGCTCCCTGAAATTTATCTGTAAACCCCAAATCAATACTAGTTATACTTTTGAGGTCTTTTGCAGATTTGTGCAGAGAGCTTTGAAAAACTTGAAACTAGACAATAGTAGTACACGCCTGTAATCCTGTAATCCCAGCACTTGGGAGGCTGAGGCAGGAGGATCACAAGTTTGAGGCCAGCCTGGGCAACTTAATGAGACCTTGTCTCAAAATAAAAAGACTGGGGGTTGGAGCTCATTGGTAGAGTACTTGCCTAGCATGTGCAAGTCTCTAGGTTCAATCCCCAATACTTGGGGTTGGGGGGAAAAAAGAGAAATTTGAGCTGCCTGGACACACAGAACAATATTTCATGTTTTGCATTTTTGTGCTTTCTCTTGGTGATTTTGCTGTTAAATCAGCCCCCAGGCAAATACCATAGTGCTGTCTAGTGTTCATAAAGACAATCAGGCTGTGTTATACCTTATAAAGAAAATGCATGTGTAGAAAAAGTTTCATTCAGCTATGGGTTATGGTGCCATTAGCCATGAGTTAAATGTTAATGAATCAGTGATATATAATGAAAAATAGTCTTTAAAAAGAAAGATATACAAAATGAATTTATGCATTGGTTGATGAAAATGTTGTGACCTGAGGCTCATAAGAACTTAACTCTTTTTAATTTTGTAGGAGCAGTGGTTCYGTATTTGCTAATTAGGTGTTCATAGTACTTTGTGGAACAAAACTGCTGCAAATAATGGGAATTGACTATATTTTTCTTTTTTTAATGGTCAGTGCCACAGCAATATTATGTCACCTGATAACAAATCAAATAAATGATGTTTGAACCAGGAATGCCTGTCATAGTACAATAGAATAAAGCCCTGCCTCTTAAAACAAACAAACAAAAAATAAATGGGATATTTTCAATTTTGAAAAAAATGATAGGAAGGAATTAATGATTATTATTTTTTTTTTACGCCTACCCCCATCTGGCAACTACAACCCTCAAATTTTGCATATCCTTTATCTTATTCATGTTTTTCATCCTTTTGAGAATTAATTGCTTCTGGATGAAGATTACTTAATCAGATTGACTTTTTTAAAATTAATATTTGCCATGGAAGAAAGCATCTGGTTGGTTTGTGCAAGCTAGAATCTAAGCATTTTCTTTTTCTAGGATATATTCGCAAACAATAGAACTAACTTTACAGAGTTCTCTTGTTTACTTTTTGCAGGTGATTCAAGTAGTTTATGTGTTACCCCATCTCTAGTTACAGATCAAAATAGATGGACTATATATCATTCCAAAGTAAATCTCCCGGCAGCACTAAATGATCCTAGATTAGCAAAAAGAGAATCTGATTTCTTCACAAAAACATGGGGATTGGACTTTGTGGACACCGAAGTCATACCTTCATTCTACCTCCCACAGATCAGCAAGGAACATTTTACAGTATATCAACAGGAAATCTCTCAGGTAATATCTAATCTTGAAATTAGTTATAGTCAGGTAAAAAATAATAGAGTTTTAGTTTGATTTATTTTAAATTTTCAACCAATAATATTTGAACCTGTGATGGTATTCTTTTATATTCATATAAATCCTCCTGTCCTGGGTTAGTTTAGTTCTTTTCTTAGATATAATTTTAATACATTTCTCTTACTGTAGTGATTTTTCAGAATTACACATTCTTGTTGGTGCTAAGATTCAGTATGAAACCTACCCTGTCTACCAAGGAGAAAATGGTTCTATTAGGCCTGTAAAGTTTAGATAATTTGTGAGATTTAAGAAAATAGGAATATCCAGGTGTGGTGGCACATGTCTGTAATTCCAGAGACTTGGGAGGCTGAGGTAGGAGGAGGAGGAGCTCAAGTTCAAAACCAGCCTCAGCAACTTAGCAAGACCCTGTTTCAAAATAAAAAGTAAAAAGGGATGGGGATGTAGCTTAGTGATTAAGTACCCCAGGTTCATTCTCTGTAAACCACCCACCCCACCACCAAAAAAGGAAAGAAATTAGGAGTAGAACCATTCCTGTGTCTCTCATTTATCACAATAGCAGATTGCCTTAATATATCCAGAAATAATTATAATTCAGTATGTTGCTTGAAAACTGGTCTGAAACAAAAACTGAGTGTAGTGCTGAGTTTGAAATGGCCTATTACTCATTTTTAGATTGTTAGTGAGTGGCTAATTAGCAATATAAAACTAGTTGCCATTTCAGTCTTTTTAAAAAATCAAAGTGATACAGCAGACACACACATATTTTAAATTTTTTGAAATGGGATCTCACTGTATTTCTTAGGTCAGCCTTGAACTGGGCTCAAGTGAGCCTCTTGCCTCAGCCTCCCCAGTAGCCTGGAATTTAGGCATGTGCCATTGTACCTGGCCCAAAAGTATTCTTTTTTGTACTCTTTCATTTACAAGTCTAATTTGAATTATGCTGATTTTATTTTACTTGATTACTTTGCTCTTTTTATGGTTTGGAAATAGGCTAAATATGGCCTTATTATTGGCATTAATGCATATAATATCTGATTCTTTTTTAGCACTATCAAATATTTTTATACAGAATCTACAAATTGCAAATTTAAACAAGATGCCACTACATATCTATTAGAATGGCAGAAATCCAAAATACAGACAGTGCCAAATATTGGCAAGGACATGGAACAATATGAACTGTCATTTGTTGCTAATTGGCATGCAAAATGGTACAGTCTCTTTGGAAAAGAGTCCTGTAGTCACTGACAGTGAACCAGTAACCAAGTGGTTTTTTATCAACATATTTGCTATTTTCAGGTGTCCTTTCCGTGGCATCTCTGAAAAGATGACAATGTTATTATGTGGTCATTAAGTCCTAAATCAGAGTGGATTTTTTGTTTGTTTGTTTAAACTCAAAGTGGCAGTGATTAATTTCTGTCTTTCTCTCTGGTTTTATGTAGGTTTTAGGGTTTTCTTCCTTGATTTAAAACAAATTATCCTAATTGATTTCTGTTATGTGAATAAACATTTTCTGTTTGCTTTCTTTCTTCATTCCATATATGGAGATTTTACTATAATTATGTAAGTGTAGGTATATACTTATTTGTATTTAAGTTTAGAGCACTTGTGATTTCATGTATTAAAAATTAGAGAACTAATTTGCTTATATTTTGGTATTCTGTTATGAAACAATTTGATGCTTTGGATAATCATATTTCTTCATAGCATTGATTACTTATTTAACTATTATCTTTTGATTAGAGAGAGAAGATACATGAGAGATGCAAGAATATTTGTCCTCCTAAAGATACCTTTGACAGGACTCTTTTACATACTCATGGTATGAAAATGTGTTATTTGTAGATAGTAAAGCATTGCATAAATAGTAATGAACAAAATCTTAATTCTGGAACCTTGCTGTCATATCTATAATTTGTATTTATAGTAAAATTTTGTAGCCTATTTTCTGAAAGTTTCAAGAGAAAAATTTATGGGTCTGACAGTAGTGTAATTCTTGAGCGTAACAAATATTTAATAGCATGGTGCTTTGAATTTTGCTTGTTGCTCAAAAATAGGTTAGTTCAGAAATATTCTCAGTCCTGAAGAAGCTGATTGTCTCTTGAATAAGGTCAAAGAAGGTTTGGTGTGGTGATAAGTTTGTGCAGATAACATTTCTAACTCAAAAGGCTTGGCATAGTTAATGATAATTACCTGTGTTTTAAACTAGTTAGTGTGAAACAATTATGTGGGGGAATAAAGCATTCAGGGAAAGGGAATAGTTTATATAAAGCAATAGAACTGAGAGAACATAACATGTTCAAAGAGTGCAAGAGTCTAGTATGTTTGCTGTACTGAGACTAAGAAATATAGCTGAAGCAATAGGCAGGGGTTAAAAAGAGCATTATATGCAATGCTGAGGAATTGTATTTCTTCTAAAGGCAGTATAGTGCTACAAAACATTTTCAACTTGGTCAGATTTATAATTATACCTAACACTAAAACAGTTGTGGCTAATGAATTTTTAAATGATAGTAAGAGTGGAGGCAGTGAGATAGTTGGACTCTTAAGTGGTAATACAAATGAGAAATGATGTGGTCCCAGTAACAGTTACAATGGAAATGGAAAGGGGATTAGATCTTTGAGAGAGATATCTCAGAGATCTAAGTATAGGTTTTAATGTCCATGATAGCTCCAGGTTTCTTGTTTGCGCAACTGTTTAGGTAAGCGGTACAAGTCAACAAGAGAGGCTGGGTAGGAGGAGAGATTTTGAAAGAGATGGAGG